GAAGGCCCAGCAATAAGGACTGTAAAATGTCCCTGCTAGAGACAGGACCCATGGACCAGAAGCAATTCGTCCTTTTAAAGAACCTCCCATCCAGATCCAGAGGAAAGGAGTAAAGGGTGGGGAAAAGAAAACTGGAGGAGGGGGGTAATCCTCTTTTTCTCTCCCCCTCCACACCTTGCCAGTTCTCAATGGATACAGTCCTACCATGGTTCAGCCGACCGGGTAGATTGCGCAGGAGACACATCCCTCCTCGCCACGATCAGGAACAAGGAGGGGGCTCCATTCCAATGCTGAAAGGAACGGCGACAGAGATTCCGCACCACCCTCGGCTGCCTCTCTTGCCTCTGCTCTCCCCAGGCTCTTCACTGAGCATCTGTCCCCAAAACTGCTGCACGCTGCCGTGGCTGGATGGGGGGGGGGGAGAGCAGTTTACCGCCGCCTTCTCAGCGGGGTCCGAGGTATTCCTCTTGGCGCCGCGACCGCCTGGGGGCCTCCCAGGACTGCCAGCGCCGGATCCATTGTAATTCAAGGCCCGCAACTCTCCAATATGTTTTGGGGCTGGAAGGTAAGTACCTTCTCCCATTGCCCTTTAGGTCTCCGCTTCTTCTTCTGACCTTCCAGTGTCTTTTGGGATCTTTGTGGTCTTCAGAGCACAGCCAGCATATCCTGCTCAGAAGGCAGGGCCGGTAAGACTGGGGATCAGAGGATAAGCCCCTCCCCTCTGGGATCAAAGTTTGCCGGCCCTGCCTGAGGAAGGGGGGGTGCTTTCCCAGGAGTAAGGAGTCAAGGACTGCCCCACTCCTGGACCACTGGAGAATGGTGGACCCTGTGTCCTTATGCCCTGCTGAGATGGCCTCCCTATGACAGCCAGTGTGACGTAGCAGTCAGGGCTTCAGAGCACGGTAGAGGCTGCAGGTGTGGTGGGGAGATGGAAAGCTGAAGTCAGACGGGCAGATAAAGCTAGGTTGGTGGTTGGCTAGGAAGGCAATTGGGTTGCCAACTCCAGGTTGGGAAATTCCTGGAGATTTGAGGGATGGAGCCTGGAGAATGTGGGGTTTGTGGAGGGGTGGGACCTCAGACAGATACAGTGCCATAGACTCCACCCTCCAAACCAGCCATTTCCTCCTGGGGAACCCTTGTTGCCAATCTCCATCTCACAAACATCTATTCAATAATTCTTAGAAGCACAATGATCCATTCAATAACTCCTCCAAAGATCCAATGGTCACATTTTCTAATGGCACAAAGCACTTTGACCAGTACTGAGAAATGGGACTTAATTAAATGATATGACATAGTAACAGATGAATGAATGTGCAAGTTTGTTATGAATATATTATATTGGATTATTATGGAAATATAATTTTAATAACTTCTCATAGTAATTTGTTCATGGTATTATTCTTCCTAGTTACGTGGAGGTTGGCAACCTTATCATTAAAATATATGAATCTGAAACTGCTGTCTTTTGATATATAATAAAACCTGATTCGACAGTGAACTTTAGCTTTAATACGGCTTAGAATATACCCATTTAAGAGCTAATAGAACCCTTTTCTGATCAAAAATCTTTCCTAGTTTTCTTTTTACATCCTTTATTTGCAAGCAAGATGGCGCTATATGGTAAGGATCAAACATTTAGTTATACTGTTATACTGTTATACTGTTCTCTCTCTTCCTATAAGGATTACTAATGTTGTATAGAGAAAGGGTATGACTTGCACAATGCCGCAGTCCGTAAATGGCAGCTTTCATAGGCAATAGCCTTCTGCAGAATATAGAATTACTGCTTCCAATGGAGATTACAAATTAAACTAGAGTTTATCCCATTTACAAGAAATCATTTACAATCACAGAAAACATCTTTTGTTTTGCATATGTTCACAAGTACATGACACCACAAAATCAAGAATGAAGCTGCTTCATTAGAAGGCAACTTATTCACGGAAAATTAAAGCAATTAGTCTTTTTCATTTGTTTAGTGGAAGGTCTGTCTTGCTGTGAGGTTTGAGCAGGTTAATCATGGGAAAGCATGCAATTTCAATAAATGTAGACTTGCGCTTCTAGCTTTTGCAGAAAAGCAAAGGGGAAAAAGCAGAATTGCTGAGGTTTTTCCTTTACCTTCAGTGATTTTGCCATCTGTACATGGTTATCGTATACTGTAACATCCACAGTCAGATTTTTAAGTTGGTTGATGAGAACACCATCTCCTTCAAGATCATCTTCTTTAATAAGCAGTTTCCAAGATGGCAAGGGACATCTGGTACCATCCCACACCTACCAGGAAATAAAGTTCATTATATGTCCTCAAAGTGGCAAAATAGAGACAGTACAATTTTAATATTCTGTATTCAGGCTGTGATCCTAGGCATGTTTTCTTCAGAGCAGATCTGACTGAAGTCAATGGGTCTCACTTGCAAATAAATGTGCTTCAGATCATGAAGCTAAATTAACAAAAATAACTTTTAAGACAAATATTCTTTAATAAGATTTGTCTATTTATAAAGAACCTTCAGTACACTGTTATGATGAGCTGTACCTTTTAAGAGATTTAGAAGTGCTGTACGTACAACTACAGGACTGTGAGGGCTTAATTCTTCACAGAGCCAGAAAGCCTTGAATAACAGGCTGTTCCAAGAGATCTGATTGGTTAGCATCAGCTCAGCCCAGAAGGACTTCAGAGCTGTATGTTGAGATTTGAAAGTCTGAATTCAGCATTAGCCAAGAGCAGTTTGAACACAGACAGAGAATTGGGAGGAGACTTTGGCAAACAGGTTTGGGTAGTGAAGGAAGCTCTCATTCAGGCCAAAGGAAGGGGGGATATATCTTCTAGGGAGAGACGAGATTCTCTGCACAGTTATAAAGGAGAGTTATCTCTGAGGAGTAGAAATCCCTGGTCTGGTGTGATTAGAAACTGCCTTTAGAGACCTGAAAAATCAATCATAAGAAGAGAACTAGTGTTCCAAGAGAAGGGGTTTGGGTACTGGGAAGAGGGTACCAGCCTTCTGGGCACCAAAAGAGTCAGCAATTATACAAATAACATGTGCAGGAGGGTTTGGGGAAAACACTGCAAAAATAGCCTCTCAACATAGAGTACTAAAGTAACAGTGAATGATTTAAGAACCTCTCATTGGTTTGATACATATATCCTATATATATAATTGCTCTATGTATTGGCAATTTCTCAATCTCCCATTGGCTGTGCTGTGCGCTCCATCATCCATTGGCCAGGCAACCGCCAGGTAACCACCACTCAAGAGTATTTGTGTGCCATTAGCTGGGTGCTGGGTTCAATCCTCTCCCCCGCCCACTGCCAGCTTGGACACAATAAACTGCCAAAACGGCTGTCTCTCCTGAAAAAGATGCTTATACTTCTGCTTGGCTCATTTGCCGCAGGTTGGCTACTTAAGTGGCCCACCGGTTGTCAAACCATTCTCTTCTTTTTCTTTCCCTCAGTGGCTGATGCTAGGTAACCAAGCTTGGTTCAGTCAGTAAAAAGGCAAAGGCAGGAGGCCCTTTGTCAGCTTGCCCAGTAACTCTCAGACGCAATAAGTCCTTTTAAGCAGGCTTTATTGAGAAAGTCAGGAAAGTTGCTTCAAGTTGAAACTCTTTGCCAGAACTGAGGAATAATACAAAATGGGAAACTACAAGACCTTTGGTCCAGCCCTCATTCATACGTCATGGTTAGATAGCAATTAGGCAGGTTAATAGAGTATAGCAATTAGGCAGGTTAATAGAGTACAATTAAAATGGTGAGAATGCTTATCAGTTGAGACTCTCTCTTGAGGCCATGAGAATTGTGAAAAGCGAAGTTCCCCTGGCCTTATGGAGGAGGCATCCTTACATAGTGTTACAAAGCGCAGCTATCTAAATTCACACAGACATGTTTCAATCACTCCTCCCCTCAGGAATGTCAGAGGAGGATCCTTGAGAATAGATTGATACATTGCTGGCAGGTGCTACATGGGCCTGGGAACTACAAGCAGGGAGGAAATGCAAAAACAACAATAATGCGATTCAGCAAAGCAAAGCTATGTACATCAGAAAGTCAGATTTACAAGTACACTGATTACCTGAGCCAGGCAAGGGTCCAATTCTGACACCCTTTCCAGTCCATTGGACCCACCCCCTCCAAAGCAGTTATTTTCTCCAGGATAGAGAAATCTATTGTTTGGAGTTCAGTTGTAATACCCAGCAATCTTCAGGCTTCACCTGGAGGTTGGCTACCCTAGTCGTAGTAGTTAGCACTTCAGAGCAGGGTCTGCCAGACCCAGGTTCTTGCTGTGGAAGTTGAGTGGGTGATTTCGGACCAGTCACAGACTGTTCTTATTTAACTTATGGTCCACCCATACCCCATACACACACTGCTACCAGCGCTCCCTCTAAGCTATGGAGACTTGTTAGCAAAAATTCTACATTGTGAGCTACTGGCATTAAAGCTGTGAGCGAGCGATTTGGCTACTGCATAAATTAGTTTGCTCTGGAGTCATCCTTCTTGAGCTAAGACAAAAATGTGCGAGCTGGAGGCTAAAGAACTGTAAGCTAGCTCACACTAACTCAGCTTAGAGGGAACACTGAGTGCTACCCAGAAGTGTATCCCCCATCCAGTATGCATGTTCCTTATTTTAGTTACCCAGATGTAGAACTCAGCACTTATCCTTCTTAGATAGACAGGTTGCTTACCTGTAACTGGTGATCTTCGAGTGGTCATCTGTGCATTCACACCCTTGGGAATATACTGCGCCTGCGCTGACCTTCTCGGTACCGGTAGCTAGCAAAAGGGATTTTCGCGCCTCTCCCAGGTCACGCGCCGGCTCCACTGCGCATGACCAAGGAGGGGCACGCAGATCCCGCCAGTTCCTTCTGACCGCCGCCCAACAGCCTTCAAAGAAACAAGATGAAGGGCCGAGAGCAGAGGGGAAGGAGGGCGGGTGGTGTGAATGCACTCTGTAACTGGTGATCTTTGAGTGGTCATCTGTGCATTCACACCCTTGGGATATACTGCGCCTGCGCTGACCTTCTCGGTACCGGTAGCTAGCAAAAGGGATTTTCGCGCCTCTCCCAGGTCACGCGCCGGCTCCACTGCGCATGACCAAGGAGGGGCACGCAGATCCCGCCAGTTCCTTCTGACCGCCGCCCAACAGCCTTCAAAGAAACAAGATGAAGGGCCGAGAGCAGAGGGGAAGGAGGGCGGGTGGTGTGAATGCACAGATGACCACTCGAAGATCACCAGTTACAGGTAAGCAACCTGTCTATCTTCTTCGTGGTCTCTGTGCATCACACCCTTGGGAGAATAGCAAGCAATAACTCTTACCTGGAGGAGGGGCCGAGGCCCTACATCTGCGCCGTCTGCAATATAGACCGACCCAACGCCACACGACGAGAAGACCGGACATCAAGGGCATAATGCTTCACGAAGGTGAGCGGAGTAGCCCAAGTCGCAGCGTTGCAGATGTCCTCCAACGGCATACCTCGCAGGAAAGCTGTGGAAGTTGCTACCGCCCTCGTAGAATGGGCGCGAAGCTGACCTGGAAGAGGTTTCTTAGCCAAAGCGTAGCATAGCTTGATCACCTCCACAATCCATCTCGACAGCCTCTGGGAAGAGATCTTCTTCCCTTGGGAGGGCATACTGTGAGCAACAAACAAAGCTGGAGACTGGCGAAAAGACTTAGTCCTGCCCAAATAGAACAACAACGCTCTCTTAACATCCAGAGAATGCAATTTCCGTTCCTCTTCATTAGCAGGAGACGGGAAAAATGATGGCAGAACTACATCTGAACGTAAATGAAATTCCGAAACAACTTTCGGTAAAAAGGAGATGTCCAAAGACAATGAAACCCCATGTGGGGAAAAACTTAAGTATGGTGGATCACACCTCAGAGCAGACAATTCGCTGACCCGACGAGCAGAGGTAATGGCCACCAAAAACGCAGTCTTGAGTGACAGCAATTTTAGAGAGCAAGTGGCCAATGGCTCGAAAGGTTTTCCCATCAAAAAACGCAAAACTAAAGCCAAATCCCAGGCCGGGGTTGGAGGACGACGGGGAGGGTACAGGCGAATAAGGCCTTTACAAAACTGTTTTGTCTGAGGATGCGAGAAAACTGAAAACCCATCAACAGATGGATGAAAAGCTGACACCGCAGCTAAATACACTTTAACCGACGAAAAACTGAGACCCAAGTCCATTCTGGACAAAATAAATGCAAAAATAGACCTCAAATCCACTGGCGGAGGAGGTAGATTTGAGGAATTCAAATACTGCAGGAATAGATTCCACTTCCTTGTGTAGGAAGTCCGAGTAGACAGTTTACGACAGTTCAACAAGACATCATTGATACGAGCGTCCATCACTGAAAGCGTATTTCCCACAGAGTCAGCTTGAGACTCAGAGGATCGTAGTGAAGGACCTGGCCCTCCTGAGCCTGGAGGAGATCCAACTCCTGCGGCAGGTGTACAAAGGATCCCTTGGCTAACCTCAACAGTGTCGGGAACCAAACTTGCCGAGGCCACCAGGGGGCTACTAGAAGACAATGGGGCTTGTCGTGTTGTATTTTCACCAACACCCTGTGAAGCAGCGGAATCGGAGGAAATAGGTACAGAAAGTTGTGAGCCCACGATATCAACAGGCCGTCCCCCAGTGACAGAGGGTCCAACCCCGCTCTGGAACAAAACATGGGACACTTCTTGTTGAATCGAGTTGCAAAAACATCGATGTGGGGATGTCCCAGACGTTGAAAAAGAGGGAGGAGATACTTTGAATTCAGCTCCCAATCGTGGTCCGATGCTCCTCCTCTGCTCAGGAAATCTGCTTGCTGGTTCAAAGTTCCTGGCAGATGGGCAGCTTGGAGAGTGATATTCCGATGAAGGCACTCTTCCCATATGTCCATAGCTAGCCTGCAAAGGGATCTGGACACTGTCCCGCCCTGGCGATTGATATAAGCCATTGCAGTTGTATTGTCCGTAAATATTAACACAGCTTTCCCTGCAACCTGTTTGTGCAAGGATCTGAGGGCAAATTTTACGGCCAGCAGTTCCAGATAGTTGATGTGATGACGTTTCCAAAGGGGCTGCCATGGAGCACCCACACAAGTGTCGTCCGTATGAGCACCCCAACCCCACAGGGAGGCGTCTGTGGTGATCGACATCACGGGAACAATCGGTTGGAACGGTGCACCCGCCAGCAAATTGGTGTCCACGAGCCACCACTGCAGGGAGGTAAGGACCTGAGGAGGCACGACTAGTCGAAGACTTGGGGGGTGAAAGGAGGGGCGAAATTT